TGTAGAACTCTAATGCGTTCTCCACAATATCAATCTGGGACTTCTGCAGGAGAATCCTTTCGGGGAAAGGAGGTATAAGCAGCAGAATACTTCAAGCTGATTGGGCGAAGTGACGCTGTGTGCCCGCCTACCAAGGTTTGACTTAAACCAATCCCGGTAACATCTTTGCCGTCCTGAAATGCACAAAGCGCCTCTCGCTGTTCATCTTTCAAAAAAGAAATAGGAGATTCTGCTAAAACTGACTTGATAGCCTCAGCTACGCGTCCGTCCCGGATATCCCGCCCTAAACCCCCAGACTGGCGCGTGATTGGCTTGAACACCTAGATGTTCTACTCGAAAAGGGTTGGCGGGAGCGGGCAAGGTTAGTTTGTCGGAGAATGCGATAGTAAAATAATCTGTTCTGGTTCAATCCAAATATCAAGAAACTGAAGCCGGAGCAAGAGGAATGTTTGATACAAAGATGTTGTGGCTCTACTCCCCACTGGCTCTGTTATTGCCAAAGGAGATGGCTAAAGCTAGGCTAAATTCTAAAGCTAGGCTAAATGCTAACATCACTCGGGCTCATTACATACGTCACGGTAAACTCAGATCCAATAGTTTCAATCTGCAAAAGGAGTTAGCCCCTCCCACCTGTTAACGGAGTCAATGGAGCAAATCCAGACCTTAGTACAAATGAAATGAGTACCATGGTGTGGTGATCTAGAGAGTGTTGTAAGTATGTGATGTTGTGCTCAAAATATATGTAAAGAATCTTGAGACAGTAAGATGTGTCTTAAAATCTCTGTTGCTAAATGCAATAAACTTGAATTCGTTTTTTAATGCTCAAAAAGTCACATTTTGGATATTATGTAAACTCCAGTAAATGTGATCCTTTCCCACACAGCGTGAACTGAAGCAGAGTAAACTTGCAGCTATAGAGAGAAAGTACCACGCTACAGATGGTGTGCTGAGGCAAGACGTTGTGTTGAGTTTCCTTACAAAATGAAGTTGCCGGGCCCCAGAAGACAAGCGCTTCCTGTCTGCTGGCACTGCCCGCAGCAAAGTCCAAATCTGGCCAGCTGTCACAGTCGCTAAACAGCATCAAGCCCAGCTAAAGTCTGCTAAAGTCATTTCACCACAGCTCATCACTCCACTTTATCCACTTATTTAGTGGGTAGAACTTGCCAGAGCCACACCGGACACCTGCTTTGGCGAGCGGAGAGAGTCTGTCGGCGAGAACTGGGCAGAAAACTCTATAATGCTTCAACTACGCAACGGCAAAACGGCTCTTAGCCATTTGCCCCCGGTAAGAATACGGTCAAGGTAAACAGATGGCTACAGTAAATGCTAGCTTCTCAATGTATAGTATGTCTAAAAGTATTGGGTTCTTCTTTACCAGACAATATAAGGTTTTGTGATGTGCTGAGGTAATACTTTCAATTCCACGAAGAAGACAAGATGCATATTCCTAAACTGTAGCATGTGTATATTTCATTGTTATACCGTATATACGTTAAAGGGAACATATGTATCATACAGCAACACATTCATATTTGTGCTTAGATATTAGTGAGCAATTATGTATATGTACAAATTATGTATTTTCTGAACAAAAGTTTAAAGTGGATCTTAATTAAACATACACTGGCCATGCATCCTTCCCTGTTCTTCCCCTTAATCCATTTCTGGGTCAGCCGTGGCAGTTAGAGCTAGTACCCATATTCACACACTGTAGCACCAGCCCCTCATCCTCCTGCAGGTAGTGAGTTATGTGCAAGGTTATATGTTATTTACAGTGGCACCCGTTCATTTCAATAGTTGAGTTTGAGTTTAAATTGTCATACAGAGTCCAAATAATAATAATAATAATAATACCTTTAATTTGTAATGCACTTTACATACAAATCTCAAATACATACAACAATAAAAGCACACATCATTAAAGTTAAAACAGTGTTAAAACAATGTTAAGAAGGACACAGAAAAGTTTTAAGTCCTCTTTTGAAGTTCTCCAATGACTGTGGGGCCCTCAGGTGTGGTGGGAGGGCGTTCCGCAGTTTGGGAGCAGCCGCCTGGAAAGCCCTGTCACCCATTGTCCGGAGTTTAGACACAGGTTGGTGTCTGTGGACCGGAGTGCTCTGGTTATGGGCGGAGGAGTGAGAAGTTCTGTGAAATAAGCTAATATTCAATTCAATTCAATTAATTCTTGCGTCACCCTAAATCACAACAGTAGTTTTCTCAAAGGACTTAACAAAACCGTTGTAATCGTCAACACAGATCAGAGAATCAACAGTTAAAAAATACAGACCACATTCAGCAGGTCCATAGGGGAGACCAACGTCCATACACTGAAGCGACAAAATCTACAACAATACACAAACATCTATCCATCCATCTTCTTCCCCTTAATCCATTTCCGGGTCGGGGGGGGTGGCAGTCAGAGCTGCACCCAGTACACAGAGCATACAAACATGACAAATGGAAAACTGTTTACAATGTAGTGCCTCATTCAGGACACAGAATCTGTCGTCTGCTCTTTAGGTTTTAGCAACAAAATAATCAAAGGCAAAAACGTCATTGCGATACGTCCAGTTCATAATTTCACCAAAAGAATCTGGATTATTTTCTACCCCTTTATTATTCATTTCTGGGTCGGGGGGGGGGGTGGCAATCAGAGCTGCCCCAAGTCTCGCTGCACCAGTCCCTCGCCGATGCTCCTGCAGGTGGTGGGTCCACAGGAAGATGGCTTCTACATCATTGACGATATGGCCTTGGTCTTTCACCGGGGGATTCGGGCAAAGTGGGGTTAAGTGTCTTGCCCAGGGACACAACGACAGCAGACATCAGTGGGAGCGGGCTCAAACCCATGACCGCTCTACCAACTGAGCTACTGTCACCTCTGTTGGATTGGAAGCGTCCTTATTCAAATCAAATGTTTCCATCAAAGTAAAGTGGGCAATACAAAACAAAATGTTGCTCCTGCTCTACCACCCCCAGGTCACACCGCGCCATATTCAATACATTCAATAATACACACTGTTTGTACGAGTGCTATCTAAACCCCAGTAGATGGATTGCATCTGTAATCAGTGCTTAGGAGCCACATTTGTCACAGACAGGAAGATTCCGGCAACACATTTAAATTGTAACGAGTATTAAGCCAGTAAGACTGTAAACGACAATATGGTCTTTTTAAAATATGAAAAATAGTAATAATTCTTGATTTCTTTCAACTCTTTTTTTCTGCATAATCACAGCCAAAGTAGAACAGGTGCTAATTGATGTAAACACACATTGCACATACAGTTTTCTCGATGCCAGTAACGAAGCATTTGGCAAAGCGTAGCCAACGACCAAAATAAATGGGATATGAAAGAGCGCAAACAGTATAATAAGCTAATGTGGTCTGAACTTTGAAAACATTTCTGTCGCCAAGAGAAATCTATTAATGTATTTACAGACGTGTATTTTGTTTGCACAAGTCAATTAGCTAAAACCAGCTTCAATGTTCCAACAAAAAAACACAATATAATCTCATATTTAACTGATCACTCATTTTAGTGCTATGGCCTGTGGCGGATCAACATTTCTAAAAGTTTTGAAGTGCGTCAATATTGTCATAACATTGAAATAGATTGTAAATGTATTTTTTCTCATAGCAAAGTACTTTATATTTAACTAATAATAATAATAGATTGGTTTTATTTATACAGCGCTTTTCAGTAGTAGTAAGTAATCTTTATTTATATACCGCCTTTTCACTGCACATCGGAGTCTCAAAGCGGTTTACAATTGTTATTTTTGGGAGTGGGGCCAGTACAGGAGGCACATGCCAGACCTATTGTACATATTTTTAGTGGAAGGGGAAACCGGAGCACCCGGAGGAAACCTACGCAGACACGGGGAGAACATGCAAACTCCACTCAGAAAGGCCCTGGTCCAACCAGGATTTGAACCCAGGACCTTCTTGCTGAGAGGCGAGAGTGCTATCCACTCAGCCACCGTGCCCTTTTCAGAACACTCAAAGACGCGATAGACGTGATAAACTACTACTGTAGCCACACCTGCCCTGGGGCACACTGACAGAAGCGGGGCAACCAGTCTGTGCCATCAACAGCCATTCACACACACACCAGACTCATTCTAATGTGGGTGAAGTGTCTTGCCAAATGACACAAAGACAGAATGGCACTTTACAGCCGCCCCACTGTGGCATCTGCTGTTCCCAGAGGTCTCCCATCACAGCACTAACCAGGCCCTGCCCTGCTTCAGAGGTCTGACAGGATCTAGCTTTTGCATGCAAGTATGGCCACACATAAGAAAAGTGAGATTAAGTTTCTTGCTCAAGGACACAACGACAGCAGACATCAGTGACAGTCGGTGGAGAAAGTCCTGAACCCACAACCTTTAAATACTGCAAGATTCATGAAGTATGTTGAGCACTATCACAGTTTAGAAGAATGCTCAGTTGAAACAGAAAGAGAAAAGGTTGGATAAAAGTCTTGACCCTGTCATTGGAAAGACACTCTGATTATTAGACATGTTTAGTTTTTGTGTGAATGTGCAGCAGTAGAACCCTCCATTGATTTGGACGTCATTTCAAAACGTTCTACCGCTCAGTATTTCTTGATAACCGACCTCTCGAAACAATAATGACCGCTGCCCTTTGGCAACGCACTCTCTGCTTGTAATTCAGATGTGTAGATTACTCCGCAAGTAGTTCCGGCCACTTCATAACAATGGGCTACGTCACTACTGTCCCTGGAGAGAAGCTATTGGAGCTAGCCACGCTCAATAAACGCAAATACCAATCAATAAAACATTTAAATGTTAATGGGAGAATACATTATACATTTACATTCTTAACACACGTGCACGGAGGTTTTCAGAATGATCTGTTCACGTTTTCATCACAAAAATACTGTTTTCCGATAAAGCCCTGCCTACTATACATCATCCCTAACATACACCACCATCAGCGGCCTTTGAATCCCAGCAGTGGAGGAACAGTGAGGTCTTACCCTGTAGTAGTCGCTGCTGTAGATGTCCCGGGACATGCCAAAGTCTCCGATCTTCACCAGGAGGCCGTTACCCACCAGGCAGTTCCGTGTGGCCAGGTCTCGGTGCACAAAGTGTTGCGATGCCAGGTAGACCATCCCCGAGGCGATCTGTGACGCAATGTGCAGCATCTGTGACAGGCTCAGCTCTCCACTGGACTGCAGCGGCTGACCGTCCACCAGGATCATGGCATCGGGACCATGGGCTCTGAGGAAGGGAACGCAAACAGATCAGGACCATGTGGAACTTCAATAATAATAATAATAATAATAATACATTCACATCAAACTTGTAAAGCGTTTTTTGGACACTCAATGACGCTTCAACGGAATGAAACAAAAAAGGGGGTTTACAGAAAGCTTGTTCGAACAGATGGTTCTGAGGCTGGAGTTAGAGTTTGTAATGGGCAGTCAGGTCCAGAGGGTGGGGGGGGGGGGGGGGGGCAACGGCCCCTCCCACCACCACCAACCATTCACACACACACCAGACTCATTAGTGTCTTGCCTGAGGACACAACCACAGTTTGGCACTTTACAGCCACAGCCGCCCCACTGTAGCACCTACAGTGACATGTGGTTATTGCACATTCTGACAGTACTGAAGGATATTGCACCGTGAGATCAGGTCGGCAGAGTTAGTCCTCATTACTTGTCCTTCTTAACTATCGCTCCCTCAGCACATCTGTTCAAATGTGACCAACAGGACCGGCAGAGCAAAATCATCCACGTCTTGCACCTTTGGATGAAAGAATTTCATCATTCGCGACATCGGCTTTCATTTCAGGAATGATTTCCCAACAGTAAGTCTTCACGCCCATCTATGCGCTCACACTCCATCGTAACGTGTCATCGTCTCAACTATTGGCCAAACCTAAAAACTTGGCCGAGGCCACACGCACCAGTACAGCCACAGTGGGACTGTCGAGCATGAAAGTTTGTCTAATCCTGTTCGTGTTCGCGCTGAGATCAAGGCGAGCGAAGGCAGCCATTACCAAACTGCCTTTACAAGAGTCACTTTGGTCCGAGTTCATCTGAGGTCTGAAATAATCTGTATCTGGCCTGGTCGTACCATCATCTCCTACATGTACGTCTGGTCTTACCATGTGTAAACTCTGGTCCATGGTCATTTCCTACATGTACGTCTGGTCTTACCATGTGTAAACTCTGGTCCATGGTCATTTCCTACATGTACGTCTGGTCTTACCATGTGTAAACTCTGGTCCATGATAATTTCCTACATGTACGTCTGGTCTTACCATGTGTAAACTCTGGTCCATGGTCATTTCCTACATGTACGTCTGGTCTTACCATGTGTAAACTCTGGTCCATGATAATTTCCTACATGTACGTCTGGTCTTACCATGTGTAAACTCTGGTCCATGGTCATTTCCTACATGTACGTCTGGTCTTACCATGTGTAAACTCTGGTCCATGATCATTTCCTACATGTACGTCTGGTCTTACCATGTGTAAACTCTGGTCCATGGAGAATGTGATAGTAAAATAATCTGTTCTGGTTCAATCCAAATATCAAGAAACTGAAGCCGGAGCAAGAAGAATGTTTAGTAAATGTCATTGAAGCAAAGATGTTGTGGCTCTACTCCCCACGGGCTCCGTTAGTGACAAAGGAGATGGCTTAAGCTAGGCCAAATGCTAAAGCTAGGCTAACTGCTAAAGCTAGGCTACACTGCAAAATGATAAAATATGAGGTGATAAATGCTTGAATAATGTAGTGGTTTTTATCTTCATTTGTTAAAGCAGGATACTCCAATGGGACAAGGCCATTTAGTCTAATTTCAAGAACAGTTGTTTTTTTTCGCATTCCAAACATTTTTATTTATCTTATTTATCTGATTCGGACAACACACGTTAATGAACAAGCATATACAAGTTGTACACAAATTGTAATTGTGGCAGATGATACCAAAATTGCTCATTTACCTCCGCAGTCCCGAGGCCAAGCAAGAACGTCCTCGGCCAAGTTAAAGAGAGTCAGTTTAGAAAGAAGTGCATGATGGTCTACCGCACATGTGTCAAAGTCGAGGCCTGCGGGCCAAATCCGGCCCGCGAATGAATTTTATATGGCCCGTTCCCTGCCATTGACGCACTATTGCGTCAATTGTGTTTTCCGCTATTTTTATGTTCCCAGATGTCTATTATATCTAATATGCATGGGGATAAGCTTGAGAGCATATTGAATCGAGCCAGCAGGTGGCAGCAGCGCTCTCTGAATGGTTTGAAAACAGCTAGATGCACTTGTTGTGCCTCTTTTTTCTCAGCTTTTTGGTGATTTCAGTAAAACTTCCCTCTACTCAACTGGGGATTACAAGCTAGAAACAAAATTGTTTTTGCTGATGCAGTACTTGCGGACTGCCCCGCCCGACCCGCCTGGGAGTGCTTCGGTCCTGCACCGGACCTGTCCACGTTCAGCGGCCACTGGTCCACGTTCTGTAGCTAGCTTAGGTCCTAGATCATTAGCCTGTCCGTCCGGAGGAGCGGATCCCTTTCTCATATGGGTCTCCCTCCCTGTGGGTTTCCCTAGTTCTCCTCCAAGGTTTCTCACTTTTTCCCACTGGGTTTTTTAAGAGTTTTTCCTTGTCGATGCAGGAGGGTCTTGTTGGACAGTTAGTGTCGAACAGAAAGGATTGGTGATGATCAGGACACTTTAGCATTCTACAACATGTATGGACATTTTCTTCTGTGTGTGCTTTATATTCTTCATGTGTTTTAACTGTTGATTCTCTGACCTGTGTTGGTGATTTCAATGGTTTTGTCAAGTCTCTGAGATGACTTCTGTTGTGACCTAGGGCTATACAAGAATAAATTGTATTGTATTGTAAGTAGACAGTCTATTCTTTCAGAATCTGGTTTCGGATTTCAGATAGTCATAGTACACAATATTCTGTGGGTCTTGAAAAATCAATAAAAATCATTAGTAACTGCTGGAAATATGGGAGTACCTGTTCTGAAATAGGCAGGCAGGCAATGAGTTAATAAACATTGAACCAGTCCGGCCCTCGGCTCGCAGCAAATTTGTTCTTTTGGCCCTCTGATGTATTTGACTTTGACATGCCTGGTCTACCGCATCAAACGCCTTCTTCAAGTCAGTTGTGCACCAACGCAAGTGTTTCCTTCAAGCATGGAATTGACATTTTCTACATTTCTTGTTTCTTTTTGAAAGCAAGATCATTTTGCTTTGTCCCATTGGAGAATCTTGTCTAAAGGCAGTCAGAATGTGCTCAAATTGAGATACATATAGACAAGTTTAAGCAATGTTTAACTTATTTTTCTTCACTTTATGCATCGTAAATACTAAAGCTAGGCTAAATGCTAAAGCTAGGCTAAATGCTAAATGCTAACAACTCACTCGGGCTCATTACATACGTCACAGTAAACTCAGATCCAATGGTTTCAATCTGTAAAAGGAGTTAGCCCCTCCCACCTGTTCACGGAGTCTATGGAGCACATCTAGACCTTGGTATGAAATGAACTGAGTACAATGGTGCGGTAAGGGCCAGGCTAGCTCTGTCCATAAACTCATGGAATTGGAATCACTTTAATCCATTCAGACCGAACAATAGCAGTGATATCAAACACGACTCTTTTGGGGCAAGAGTCAAACGTCTCACAAAGAGCAACAAATGGACGACAAACGGTCAATAATTTTCTTTGTCCTGTTTTTCATTACCGACCTGCGAAGAAATTCATGCACTAATATGTCGATACAGAAAAGACCCCATACCTGGTTCGTTACCGTGGCAACGCCCCATCAAAAGGAATTGCAACAGGTAGTTACAACTCTCCAAAATTATACTTACTGTGCGGCAGGATTATTTACCTTTTGATTCTGTGCCTTTTTAGAACAAATATCTGAAAACATAAAACCTCTCCACTTATTTCTATAGCATATTTGAAAAAGCATGTTTCCAAAGGGCTAAAAGTCTAACAGCTTTAAAATGAAAACAATATACATACATGTTTAACTCATTAAAATACAGGACCACACAAGTCTCTCGGTGTTAAAGGCAGAGAGTAAGAGTGGGACTCAAGAACAGAGAGAGACCAGAGAGAGACCAGAGAGAGAGACCAGAGAGAGACCAGAGAGAGACCAGAGAGAGAGACCAGAGAGAGAGACCAGAGAGAGAGACCAGAGAGAGACCAGAGAGAGACACCAGAGAGAGACCAGTGAGAGACCAGAGAGAGACCAGAGAGAGACCAGAGAGAGACCAGAGAGAGACCAGAGAGAGAGACCAGAGAGAGGCCAGAGAGAGACCAGAGAGAGACCAGAGAGAGACCAGAGAGAGACCAGAGAGAGAGACCAGAGAGAGACCAGAGAGAGAGACCAGAGAGAGACCAGAGAGAGACCAGAGAGAGACCAGAGAGAGACCAGAGAGAGAGACCAGAGAGAGAGACCAGAGAGAGACCAGAGAGAGAGACCAGAGAGAGAGAGAGAGACCAGAGAGAGACCAGAGAGAGACCAGAGAGAGACCAGAGAGAGACCAGAGAGAGACCAGAGAGAGACCAGAGAGAGAGACCAGAGAGAGAGAGCCAGAGAGAGAGACCAGAGAGAGACCACCAGAGAGAGAGACCAGAGAGAGCCAGAGAGAGCCAGAGAGAGACCAGAGAGAGAGACCAGAGAGAGAGAGGACCAGAGAGAGACAGAGAGACCAGAGAGAGACCAGAGAGAGACCAGAGAGAGACCAGAGAGAGACAGAGAGAGAGAGAGAGAGACCAGAGAGAGACCAGAGAGAGAGACCAGAGAGAGACCAGAGAGAGACCAGAGAGAGACCAGAGAGAGACCAGAGAGAGAGAGAGAGCCAGAGAGAGACCAGAGAGAGACAGAGAGACCAGAGAGAGAGACCAGAGAGAGAGACCAGAGAGAGACCAGAGAGAGAGAGAGAGACCAGAGAGAGACCAGAGAGAGAGACCAGAGAGAGACCAGAGAGAGACCAGAGAGAGACCAGAGAGAGACCAGAGAGAGACAGAGAGAGACCAGAGAGAGACCAGAGAGAGAGACCAGAGAGAGAGACCAGAGAGAGAGACCAGAGAGAGACCAGAGAGAGACCAGAGAGAGACCAGAGAGAGACCAGAGAGAGACCAGAGAGAGACCAGAGAGAGACCAGAGAGAGACCAGAGAGAGAGACCAGAGAGAGACCAGAGAGAGAGACCAGAGAGAGAGACCAGAGAGAGAGACCAGAGAGAGACCAGAGAGAGAACCAGAGAGAGACCAGAGACCAGAGAGAGACCAGAGAGAGAGACCAGAGAGAGACCAGAGAGAGACCAGAGAGAGAGACCAGAGAGAGACCAGAGAGAGACCAGAGAGAGACCAGAGAGAGAGACCAGAGAGAGAGACCAGAGAGAGACCAGAGAGAGAGACCAGAGAGAGGCCAGAGAGAGACCAGAGAGAGACCAGAGAGAGACCAGAGAGAGAGACCAGAGAGAGACCAGAGAGAGAGACCAGAGAGAGACCAGAGAGAGAGCCAGAGAGAGACCAGAGAGAGACCAGAGAGAGAGACCAGAGAGAGACCAGAGAGAGAGACCAGAGAGAGACCAGAGAGAGACCAGAGAGAGACCAGAGAGAGACCAGAGAGAGACCAGAGAGAGACCAGAGAGAGAGAGAGACCAGAGAGAGAGACCAGAGAGAGACCAGACCAGAGAGAGACCAGAGAGAGACCAGAGAGAGACCAGAGAGAGACGAGAGAGAGACCAGAGAGAGACCAGAGAGAGACCAGAGAGAGACCAGAGAGAGACCGGGGAGAGAGAGACCAGAGAGAGACCAGAGAGAGACCAGAGAGAGAGAAGCCAGAGAGAGAGACCAGAGAGAGACCAGAGAGAGACCAGAGAGAGACCAGAGAGAGACCAGAGAGAGAGACCAGGAGAGAGAGAGAGACCAGAGAGAGACCAGAGAGAGAGACCAGAGAGAGAGCCAGAGAGAGACCGGGGAGAGAGAGACCAGAGAGAGACCAGAGAGAGACCAGTGAGAGAAGCCAGAGAGAGACCAGAGAGAGAGACCAGAGAGAGAGACCAGAGAGAGACCAGAGAGAGACCAGAGAGAGACCAGAGAGAGAGACCAGAGAGAGAGCCGAGAGAGAGACCAGAGAGAAACCAGTGAGAGAGACCAGAGAGAGAGAGACCAGAGATAGAAGCCAGAGAGAGGGACCAGAGAGAAACCAGTGAGAGACCAGAGAGAGAGACCAGAGAGAGACCAGTAGAGAAGCCAGAGAGAGGGACCAGAGAGAGAGGCCGGAGAGAGGGACCAGAGAGAAACCAGTGAGAGAGACCAGAGAGAGAAGCCAGAGAGAGGGACCAGAGAGAAACCAGTGAGAGACCAGAGAGAGAGACCAGAGAGAGACCAGTAAGAGAAGCCAGAGAGAGGGACCAGAGAGAGAGGCCGGAGAGAGGGACCAGAGAGAAACCAGTGAGAGAGACCAGAGAGAGAAGCCAGAGAGAGGGACCAGAGAGAAACCAGAGAGAGACCAGAGAGAGAGACCAGTGAGAGAAGCCAGAGAGAGACCAGAGAGAGAGGGACCAGAGAGAAACCAGAGAGAGACCAGAGAGAGGCCAGAGAGAGGCCAGAGAAAGGTGGTCCGCTCTGAAAGAGGACTGTGATCTGTCTGTTCTGTAGGATCTTTATGAATCCAGACTTAAACCGAGCTCTTAGAATAATCAATGGCCATGTTCCAGCTTCTTCCCTCTGGCAGAAGATATCGTTCTCTGTAGGTGCAGGACATCTCGTTTTTCCTTCAAGCAGTTATCAGTTTAAACACAGCACTCAGTTTTAGCGCTGTATTTTTAACCCTGTGTTATGTCTGTACTTGTCTGGTGCACACTGGGGACTTTCGCAAATGTATTCCAATGGGGTTTTACTGCAAACGACAAACTGAATCTGAATCCGTACTGACCTGAGGAACTTGTTGAGGTCTCCGTGCTTCATGTACTCAAAGACCATAATGAGCGGGTCTCCGTCCACGCAGACGCCGTAGAACATGACGATGTGGTCGTGCTGGAGGTTGGTCAACAGCTCGGCCTCTCGCTGGAAGTCCTTTCTCGCAGATAAGTTTGGATCCTTCAACGTCTGAGGAAACAAAAGCAAAACGAAAAAATAAGATAAGATAAGATAAACCTTTATTAGTCTCACAGTGGAGAAATGTCAGTGTCATCGTTGCACATTACAGCAGAGAAAGGAAATAAAAGCACTCAGACGCACACATCAAAGTCTATTATTTAAGATAATAGACAATAAATTTAAGATAAAAAAAATAAAAAATAAGAAAATCTGGGCTACAATTGCACTTGGTTCGGAGTATTTACAGATGTCTATATTATACATTAGCAGCGGAGAATATGAGAATATGAGAATAAACATCAGAAATAATATCAACAGGTAAAGTGACTTGAATGGGAGAATTATCAGATGGATATGAATAATACAGTAAGATATCAACAGGTAAAGTGACGGTGGAAGGCAGAATTATCAGATATGAAATAATACAGTAGTACTGATAACAGTAAATATCAGATATGTAGTACTGTAGTAGTACTGATAACAGGTAAAGTGACTAGTGACAAAGTTACTAGTGAATTATCAGAAACACTTGTGCAGACTCAAAAAACATTATCAAACAAAAGGACACATAAGCTGAGAACACGGTGGAAGTGCTGTGTCTGTGGAACAACGTTTACTCATCAGCAGGAGGTCGCACTTTCACAAAATAATACCAACAAATAAGAATCTCATTGTTTTCATATTTTGGGACTTGCAAAGGATTGACAAACTTTAAAGAAAAACATCTGTGGTCATAATTAGCATGTTTTGTCCATAGAGAGACACATGATCGATATGAGAATACCAACTTTTATGAATCAGTTAAAATACTATTACATTGGGAAGTGTGGGGTTCGTGAAGTAAGTAATCTAAGTAATAAAATAATAAATGTGCAGGAGGTCGACAGTTTTGATTCAGTCTTAAAGATGTTTCTCTTGACGATGTTCCAGTGAAATAGCAGAAGTCGTTCATAAATGTTTGTGCATATAAATTAAGCAAAAATCCTCAAATCATGGTCAGAAAAGAAAGTTTACCAGCAGCGAATGTTGGTTCTTTGAATTAACAATAATAACTGATCTGAATATTGCATAGATTTTCATTATTCTTTCTCTCCATACACGGTGGTGATAAACTACTACTGTAGCCACATCTGCCCTGGGGCACACTGACAGGAGCGAGGCAACCTGGTGTTTCCCACAGGTCTCCCATCACAGCACTAACCAGGCCCTGCACTGCTTAGCTTCAGAGGTCTGACGGGATCTAGCTTTCACCTGCAGGTATGACCAGAAATATACTGTAAATCAACAGGTCCATGCAGGAGACTCAGAGACCATGTTCTCAGCTTTATACCAACAACAATAATACGACATGACCAGATTCATAAATGTTCTTTTCTTTGACCAGATTCATAAATGTTCTTTTCTTTGACCAGATTCATAAATGTTCTTTTCTTTGACCAGATTCATAAATGTTCTTTTCTTTGAGGCGTCTTCAACCTTTCTACTGCGCTCAGTGTTCTTTCTATAACAATGGACTGTTCTGTTAGAAATCCAACACAAAGTGATTCACTGAAGCTTGTTTTTGTTCAATATTGACGTCGTGAAAAGGGATGCAGCAGGAACATGCTAGTGTCAGCAGCATGCTAGTGACCGCAGCATGCTAGTGACCGCAGCATAGTGTCAGCAGCATGCTAGTGTCAGCAGCATGCTAGTGACTGCAGCCTGCTAGTGACCGCAGCATGCTAGTGACCGCAGCATGCTAGTGACCGCAGCATGCTAGTGACCGCAGCATAGTGTCAGCAGCATGCTAGTGTCAGCAGCATGCTAGTGACTGCAGCCTGCTAGTGACCGCAGCATGCTAGTGACCGCAGCATGCTAGTGACCGCAGCATGCTAGTGACCGCAGCATGCTAGTGACCGCAGCATGCTAGTGACTGCAGCCTGCTAGTGACCGCAGCATGCTAGTGACCGCAGCATGCTAGTGACTGCAGCCTGCTAGTGACCGCAGCATGCTAGTGACCGCAGCATGCTAGTGACCGCAGCATGCTAGTGACCGCAGCATGCTAGTGACCGCAGCATGCTAGTGACTGCAGCATGCTAGTGACTGCAGCCTGCTAGTGACCGCAGCATGCTAGTGACCGCAGCATGCTAGTGACCGCAGCATGCTAGTGACCGCAGCATGCTAGTGACCGCAGCATGCTAGTGACCGCAGCATGCTAGTGACTGCAGCATGCTAGTGTCAGCAGCATGCTAGTGACTGCAGCATGCTAGTGTCAGCAGCATGCTAGTGACTGCAGCATGCTAGTGTCAGCAGCATGCTAGTGACTGCAGCATGCTAGTGTCAGCAGCATGCTAGTGACTGCAGCATGCTAGTGTCAGCAGCATGCTAGTGACTGCAGCATGCTAGTGTCAGCAGCATGCTAGTGACTGCAGCATGCTAGTGTCAGCAGCATGCTAGTGACTGCAGCATGCTAGTGACCGCAGCATGCTAGTGACCGCAGCATGCTAGTGTCAGCAGCATGCTAGTGACCGCAGCATGCTAGTGACCGCAGCATGCTAGTGACCGCAGCATAGTGTCAGCAGCATGCTAGTGTCAGCAGCATGCTAGTGACTGCAGCCTGCTAGTGTCAGCAGCATGCTAGTGACTGCAGCCTGCTAGCGACCGCAGCATGCTAGTGACTGCAGCCTGCTAGCGACCGCAGCATGCTAGTGACCGCAGCATGCTAGTGACAGCAGCATAGTGACAGCAGCATGCTAACGATCGCAGTATACTAACAACCGTAGCATGCTAACAACCGTAGCATGCTAACGCTCTGATGGTTGATAAACTGATCATGTCGACTCCGTTTGAAGTGGAGTAAACAACCTTGAAAAGGAACAGACTGGAGCTCGGAGCTTCAGGAGAAAACATGGGGAGAGTGGAATCCCAGATTATTTACTTTATAAATAATCTATAAATAATTTACTTTATAAATAATCTGGGATGACAAAGAGAGAACGAGTGACATACACTGCTACACAATGGAATCTACTCAACAAATTCTGTTTTGTGAATGTTGTTGTGGCTGGAGGTCTGCAGACACTTGGAAGCAGAGGAGCAGGAGTGGAGGAGATTAGCGGATTACGACCCTAACCTAATTTACCCTAACTGACTTTCACTTGTGAGGTCAGTGAATGTATAAGATAAAAACTACTGACCTTTAGATGTGTGTGTTGTAGATCAAATTTTTTGCCTTTTTTAAAATGTTTTTATTTCTCTATATTTAAGATAGCAAAATGTAAGCTTTTCAAGTCAAGTCATCATTAAAGGGCCCTAATCTGTCATCATTAAAGGGCCCTAATCTGTCATCGTTAAAGGGCTCTAATCTGTCATCATTAAAGGGCCCTAATCTGTCATCATTAAAGGGCCCTAATCTGTCATCATTAAAGGGCCCTAATCTGTCATCATTAAAGGGCCCTAATCTGTCATCATTAAAGGGCCCTAATCTGTCATCATTAAAGAGCCCTAATCTGTCATCATTAAAGGGCCCTAATCTGTCATAATAATAAACTGCTCTTTTCCAATACTTCTTTAACTGATAACAGTCGTTCAGAGATATTTGAATTTCTAAATTACTTTTCCAGCCTCTAAATCTTGTTATTGTTTTCATTTCGATGTCCCGCCCTCCACCGTTTCACCAATCAGAAAGTCTGTGATCCGGGCGCCAGAACTCACCGCGTGGAGCTAATCTCACTGGTAAAGTACCATGTGGCGCAGAACTAAAAAAGGTCTCGTTATGATTCTCAAATCATTAACGACAAAGCAAGGAATAAAACCAGGATTTCTATCTTTGTGAAAAAGGTGTTGGTTATAGATTTGTTGTTGACAAAACTCTTGTCTATTCAGCTGTTATGGTCCCAGCTGGATTCGTCTGCATATCTGTTTATGTGAGTACGTTTTGACTGTAAATGTAAAATAATAACTCTAGCATCTACAACAGAGCGTTTTAGTGTTATCGGTGAAGCGGTGACGACAGAGGCCAGAAGAAGAGAGGCCATAAAATTCTACTACCAAATCAAAGTGCACTCTTAAGGAAACGCTGGCTGCCCGGGCATCTCTCCAGAACAATACCATGAAGAGCTCTCGGGGCAATAAATTGAGGAGAAAGAAGCGGCAATGAATTTCGCCTTTGTTGATCTTAAAGGGGAGGTTTAGAAAGCCCCTGTTGGCTATTGCTACGACACGCATTGGAACATGTGAAGAAGAAGAAGAAGCTAGCAGCAAGAGCCAGGTCTGTGTTTTTATTTTTATTTGTCTATTTTTCTCCAATGATTCATGAATAAGTGCATGGGGAAAATGAAAGTTATTTTTGTGGAAATTAAAGGACAACAGGTCAGAGCGATCTCGTCCAGTGAAGGTTGCGGCGCTGCTCTTACTGGGTTTTTTTTTTTTTGCTGATTCGGCAAAGTCCTCTTCAGAGCGACCTAGCTTAACAGCACAGGCCAGGGCTACAGTAGATGGAAGAAATATTACCTACGGCAGGAAACGGGGAACGCTCACCCAATTTAGGAAGTGCAGGCAGGAGCAGCGGCTTAGACCAGTGTTTTATTAAAGGTGCCGCGCATGCTAATGAGGATCCAGACTCTGAGGACCAAAGAGGAGACGACAGGCTTTTCTTTCACTGTTCTCTTTTATACCAGCAGCTCGGAGACTCCAGAAGGGAATGGTTTAATTTGTGTTTTGTTATTTAATACAATTGTAGCTACAACAGGTTCCAAGGTTCTGAAGAATGCAGGAAGAAGAATATTTTCAGGTGGATGGGTAAATATGTAATAATCCATTGACTCTGTGAACAGGTGGGAGGGGTTAACTCCTTTTGCAGATTGAAACGATTGGATCTGAGTTTACTGTGACGTATGTAATGAGCCCGAGTGAGTCGTTAGCATTTAGCCTAGCTTTAGCGTGTAGCCTAGCTTTAGCCATCTCCTTTGCCACTAACGGAGCCCGTGGGGAGTAGAGCCACAACATCTTTGCTTCAATGACATTTACTAAACATTCCTCTTGCTCCGGCTTCAGTTTCTTGATATTTGGATTGAACCAGAACAAATTATTTTACTATCGCATTCTCCGACAAACTACAACCAGCAAATTCAGCACAAACTCTTGACGTCACCGACACCGACCTACAACACCCGCCTCCCCCGCTCTCTGATTGGTCGGAGGTGATTCAACCGAGGAAACTGTAGCCAATAGGATCAGACCCAGACGTACATGTAGGAAATGACCATGGACCAGAGTTTACACATGGTAAGACCAGACGTACATGTAGGAAATGACCATGGACCAGAGTTTACACATGGTAAGACCAGACGTACATGTAGGAAATGACCATGGACCAGAGTTTACACATGGTAAGACCAGACGTACATGTAGGAAATGACCATGGACCAGAGTTTACACATGGTAAGACCAGACGTACATGTAGGAAATGACCATGGACCAGAGTTTACACATGGTAAGACCAGACGTACATGTAGGAAATGACCATGGACCAGAGTTTACACATGGTAAGACCAGACGTACATGTAGGAAATGACCATGGACCAGAGTTTACACATGGTAAGACCAGACGTACATGTAGGAGATGACCATGGACCAGAGTTTACACATGGTAAGACCAGACGTACATGTAGGAGATGATCATGGACCAGAGTTTACACATGGTAAGACCAGACGTACATGTAGGAAATGATCATGGACCAGAGTTTACACATGGTAAGACCCAGACTATGGTCAAACTAGCGACAGAACCAAACTATCTGAGAGGTTAGGTATTAGAATCATTCTGATGTTTGTGTTTTTAAAGTTACAGACTGACAGGTTGCCCCCGATACCAGGAGCACATTTTAACAATAGCAGATTATCCCTTTCACGGTTGAAGCCCATTAAAAACCAACTTATATCTTCTCCGTCTGTGCTATTAGGATATTAGCGCTGTCAGACAAAAGCTGTGGTTTCAAACACATTAGTGTCAGAGAAAATAACAAGTTAGGAGGCGGCGCTGTGTCACAAGTTGAACCTTAAAAGCTTGTGGCGTTAATTGCCGGCTCTGTCGACGCCGGAGCGACAGGTGCTAAACCAGTAAATACAAAGCAAGTCTTTAATGCTATTTAATGCAGAATTCATTTACATAATAACTATATTTTATTCATAACATTCAAGTGACATTATGATATAGAGGAAAAGTTTCAACATAGAAAACTAAAATACTGGAAAAAATCCATTGAAAAAAATAAGTAATGTGGAAAATAAGTAAAATACTGCTTAAAATGATAAAAAATAATCTGTCATTAGAGCAAGGAAATATGACTGACAAGAATTCTGAAAATGATAAAATAACACTAGCCTCAAATGACATGATTCTAGAAAAGAAAAAAAACATTTCAAGTATTATTTACCTATTTCTTAAACATTTTTTTAGATTTTTGTTCTTAAAATACGGCATCACAAACTTATTTTATCTAAACAAGAAAAGTCTGGAATAAAACAAGCTTAAAAACTCACTGCTCAGACTTTTTTATCTAAGATTATGAAATATTATTATCTTAAAACTAGTAAAATTATCTTATGACAAACTTCATTCAAGCAACAAAAACTTAAAAATAAGCATAATTAATGTTTTTTTCCTGAAGAAGTCTGACCTAGATTTGAGTTTTTTCAGTGTAACTTGGCCCAGGAGAGGGCGTCTTGTTGCTGGTGTGGTCCGTGCACAGACCGTGGCGAACAGCCCCAACTGGGATCTTAGGGAGGTCCTGAAGTGGTGCTGTTTTGGTCAAATAAAACAGGACATTATGAAACAGGGCTTTTCACTTTTACTTTCTCCAGAAGATCAGGTTTGGATACAGTGGATATTTGGCGCTCCTCGTTATAATGCGGATTAAAGAATGGACTAGTCTCTTGATCTCCACCGGCTCCACACTCAAGACAGGACTGACTTTATGAACATGTTATAACCAGAAAGAGACTAGAGAGAGACCAGAGAGACAAGAGAGAGACCATAGAGAGACCATAGAGAGACCAGAGAGAGACCAGAGAGAGACCATAGAGAGACCAGAGAGAGACCAGAAAGAGACAAGAGAGAGACCAAAGAGAGACCAGAGAGAAACCAGAGAGAGACCAGAGAGAGGCCAGAGAGAGACCAGAGTGAGACTAGAGAGATGCCAGAGAGAGACCAGAGAGAGACCAGAGACAGACCAGAGAGGGACCAGAGAGAGACCAGAGAGAGACCAGAGAGGGACCAGAGAGAGACCAGAGAGAGACCAGAGAGAGACCAGAGACAGACCAGAGAGGGACCAGAGAGAGACCAGAGAGAGACCAGAGAGGGACGAGAGAGAGACTAGAGAGGGACCAGAGGGAGAGACCAGAGAGACGTGCTCTGCTGTGATCTGCCAGTTTAAACTGATAACAGCTGAAAGAAACTGTCAGCAAAACCAGATGTCCTGCATCTCAACAAACTATATCTTCTACCAGAGGGAAGAAGCTGGAACATGGCTTTTTACAGGGGCCAGAAGAGTCTTTGATTATTCTAAGAACTCGGTTTAAAATGATCTTGCATTAATTGAAACTTTTTTCAGACAATTGTTGTTTTAGTGTGTTTTGTTTCTGTACATTTAACCTTGTTTATTTATATACTTGTCTTGTGAACACTGGGGATTTTTGCAAATGTATTCCAATGTGGTTTTACTGCAAATGGCAAATAATCTTCTGAATCTCTTTGCACTTTGGCTTTGTCACACTGTACTGAGTTGGCGTCCTGTCTTTTCCTCTGTTGTCCATCACGAAGCTCACGATGATAATGGACCCTTTGAAAACCCAATATAAACTATCATTTCAGTAACAGTTAGCATGGTAGCCACATTAGCACAAGCTCAAGTCACTTCGAGAACGCCATAATAAGCTGCAGTAATGAACCATTCTGAACACACCCTGGAGTTTTAAAATGGCTAAGAGCTGTGGAAGTCTTTTGGCGTTCGTCCAGTTCCCCGTTGATAGCCCGACACTGCCCCAAATTCACTACCGTTCTATTAATAAATCTTGAATGTAGCATGTTAGCGAGAGGGTTTTGAGCACAGGTGGGGCATAAAAGACAGACGGGAGGAAACTTTCTCCTCCGTTCAAACTAATGTCTCACCACTTTCACTGTTTATGGGCAGTTCCAAAAGGGGTTGGAAAATGTGAAAAAACGTATTTGCGCATGTGTTAGTCGATCTTAGCCCCACTTTTGGACCAAGAACCAAGAGCCACTTTGGACCGAGAGCCACTTTTGGACCAAGAACCAAGAGCCACTTTGGACCGAGAGCCACTTTTGGACCGAGAACCACTTTTGGACCAAGAGCCACTTTTGGACCAAGAACCACTTTTGGACCAAGAACCACTTTTGGACCAAGAACCACTTTTGGACCAAGAACCACTTTTGGACCAAGAACCACTTTTGGACCAAGAACCACTTTTGGACCAAGAACCACTTTTGGACCAAGAACCACTTTTGGACCAAGAGCCACTTTTGGACCAAGAACCACTTTTGGACCAAGAACCACTTTTGGACCAAGAACCACTTTTGGACCAAGAGCCACTTTTGGACCAAGAACCACTTTTGGACCAAGAACCACTTTTGGACCAAGAGCCACTTTTGGACCAAGAACCACTTTTGGACCAAGAACCACTTTTGGACCAAGAACCACTTTTGGACCATCCTGTAAAGACGTTTTTTGAAAGGAAAGAAGACGATATACATTAGCATTGGCTCATTCTTATTCCGGGTACACCCCCAGTGGCCCGGAGTGGTATTGCAGCATATCAGCACACATTATTTTGGAAATTTTTGAGCGAGACCCGCCCACACTGGAGGAAACGTACCTTGACGGCCACCAGCATCTTGTCCTTCGTGGGACTGAGGTTGTAGCATTCGGCCAGAAAGACTTTCCCGAAGGCGCCCTCCCCCAGCTCCCGCTTCAGGATGATGTCTCTGCGTTTTATGTGCTGCACCACTGCAAAAACACAAACAGATGGAATTAACAAAAAGGACCAGAGGAGAATTGTCATTTACACTTTTCTAAAAAAAAAACTAAAATCACTCACATAGATTAGATTATTCAAACACAGACATATCAGAGAGATAGTGATTAAATCTAAAGAAAAGATTGACATTTTTGGCCACATTTTTAAACAACCAAATCCGCCTCTGATTGGATCATTCTGTGACTCAGAGACACAGAATATAAAAGGTCAGAGACAAAGAGGAACTCCACAAATTCACATTAACACAACATCAGGAAATCACTTCATTTAAAAAGGAATAATAATAAAAATAAATAAACATAATTTAAATAACCCTGAAAAAAGCGTAAAGGACGTGATGGTTCTTTTCTAAAAATATAACTTGAGAAACAGAAAAAAAAAATGATGGGCTGGTTTCACATTTAATTGGTTTAATATGAAAGGTTTTTTTAATCAAATATGGATCAGAAAATATGTAACAAACTCCAGCTCATTCCATCAAAAGCCTCAGACCTGGACACAGATAAACAGCTGCCAACGATTACATTTGCTAAACATTCCTCTTGCTCCAGCTTCAGTTTCTTGATAGAACCAGACCAGAATACTTTACTATCGCATTCTTCACCAAACCACAACCTTCTCATTCGACGCAAACTCTTGACGTCACCCACATCTAACTACAACACCCGCCTCCCGCGCTCTCTGATTGGTCGGATGGAATTCAACCGATCGTAATCGCAAACACAGGGACCAGACCCAGACGTTACATGCAGGACATGATGATTGATCAGAGAGTACAGATGGATAAGACCAGACTAATGAACAGAAGAAAAACATAATATATCTTCTGATTATTAACATCACACTTTTGGCCTTTTGTCACACTTTGGTACCTTTAGTTTGAACAAACAAAAGGGCTGCCGCCGGTGGCTGAGTGGATAGCACTCTCGCCTCTCAGCAAGAAGGTCCTGGGTTCGAATCCCGGTCGGACCAGGGCCTTTCTGAGTGGAGTTTGCATGTTCTCCCCGTGTCTGCGTAGGTTTCCTCGGGTACTCCGGTTTCCCCTACCACTAAAAAAAAAATATGTCCAATAGTTGTAGCATGTGCCTCCTGTACTGGCCCCGCTCCCATCTCTGTGTGGAGTGAGAGACAAATGCCCAAAAATAACAATTGTAAACCGCTTTGAGACTCAGATCTGCAGTGAAAAGGCGGTATATAAATAAAAACCCACTAACTTACTTACTAAACCTTTACACATTTTGTAGCTGCCTCCATTCACACGTTCAAGTCACGCTATCGACATCGTTCATGTAATTATTATGATTTATTCAAGAATAATTTCATAATTATCACATATGACCCTTTGATGTACGACACAGAGAATCTGAGCAGAGCATGTTTTATAATCACACGCCTCTTTTAACAAAATAAACAGTTAGCATTTTCTCAGCCACAGTAACACACGTAATAACAGTCTGATTTTACATACACAGTAACACACATTCTCTCATGTGTCAATTTATACATACAGTGCCTTGTGAAAGTATTCGGCCCCCTTGAACCTTTCAACATTTCGCCACATTTCAGGCTTCAAAGATAAAGATATAACATTGTAATTTTTTGTCATGAATCAACAACAAGTGGGACACAATCGTGAAGTGGAACGAAATGTATTGGATAATTTAAACTTTTTTAACAAATAAAAAACTGAAAAGTGGGGCGTGCAATATTATTGGGCCCCTTTACTTTCAGTGCAGCAAACTCAGTCCAGAAGTTCAGTGAGGATCTTTGAATGATCCAATGTTGTCCTAAATGACTGATGATGATAAATAGAATGCACCTGTGTGTAATCAAGTCTCCGTATAAATGCACCTGCTCTTTGATAGTCTCAGGGTTCTGTTTAAAGCGCAGAGAGAACCATGAAGACAAAGGAACACACCAGGCAGGTCCGAGATACTGTTGTGGAGAAGTTTAAAGCCGGATTTGGATACAAAAAGATTTCCCAAGCTTTAAACATCTCAAGGAGCACTGTGCAAGCAGTTATATTGAAATGGAAGGAGTATCAGACCACTGCAAATCTACCAAGACCTGGCCGTCCCTCCAAACTTTCATCTCAAACAAGGAGAAGACTGATCAGAGATGCAGCCAAGAGGCCCATGATCACTCTGGATGAACTGCAGATAACTACAGCTGAGGTGGGAGAGTCTGTCCATAGGACAACAATCAGTCGTGCACTAAATCTGGCCTTTATGGAAGAGTGGAAAGAAGAAAGCCATTTCTCAAAGATATCCATAAAAAGTCTGGTTTAAAGTTTGCCACAAGCCACCTGGGAGACACACCAAACATGTGGAAGAAGGTGCTCTGGTCAGATGAAACCAAAGCAACACAGCTCATCACCCTGAACACACCATCCCCACTGTCAAACATGGTGGTGGCAGCATCATGCTTTGTGCCTGCTTTTCTTCAGCAGGGACAGGGAAGATGGCTAAAATTGATGGGAAGATGGATGGAGCCAAATACAGGACCATTCTGGAAGAAAACCTGTTGGAGTCTGCAAAAGACCTGAGACTGGAACGGAGATTTATCTTCCAACAGGACAATGATCCAAAACATAAAGCCAAATCTACAATGGAATGGTTCACAAATAGACGTATCCAGGTGTTAGAATGGCCAAGTCAAAGTCCAGACCTGAATCCAATCGAGAATCTGTGGAAAGAGCTGAAGACTGCTGTTCACAAACGCTCTCCATCCAACCTCACTGAGCTCGAGCTGTTTTGCAAGGAAGAATGGGCAAGAATTCCAGTCTCTCGATGTGCAAAACTGATAGAGACATACCCCAAGCGACTTGCAGCTGTAATTGCAGCAAAAGGTGGCGCTACAAAGTATTAGCGCAAGGGGGCCGAATAATATTGCACGCCCAACTTTTCAGTTTTTTATTTGTTAAAAAAGTTTAAATTATCCAATCAATTTCGTTCCAGTTCACGATTGTGTCACACTTGTTGTTGATTCTTGACAAAAATGTTTGAAGCCTGAAATGTGGCAAAATGTTGAAAGGTTCAAGGGGGCCGAATACTTTCGCAAGGCACTGTAATGTTTAAAGTACAGCCATAACAATAGACACACACACACACACACACAAATAAAAATATAGATTCAAAGTTGATTTCTGAACTCAATCACACCAAAGCCACAGGATAAAAGAAAAGTCTTACACAAATCATTCAAATTCTCCCCAAAACGATATTATTGTGCGGCTGCTTCTCGCTGTTTTAGATTCCTGCCATAAGAGACGGAGCTGATGCAGTCTCCGTGAATTAGCGACCAGAGTGTGTCAAACCGGGCGCTCCACAGCTAACGCCTCCCGCCTGATGTAATACGGAATATTTGATTATTTGAGCCAGGATCCCCGCAGAGAAGAAAAACACATACTTTTACAGCCTGTTGTCGGGCGAATGTTTAGTCTGACTTTAAAGAGGATACAGGGTTACATTGGAGTGGGTTTCAGTCCCAGGTTTTCAGTCCAAGATGACGCTGGACTAGCCTGGTCGTACCACACCATAGTACAAATGTCATTTCGTACTAAAGTCTGGATTTGCTCCATTGACTCCGTTAACAGGTGGGAGGGGCTAACGCCTTTTGCAGATTGAAACCATTGGATCTGAGTTTATCGTGACGTGTGTAGTGTCACCCGAGTCTGTTGTTAGCATTTAGCATTTAGCTTTAGCCATCTCCTTTGCCGCTAAAAGAGCCCGTGGGGAGTAGCGCCACAATTTTTTCCAGCGATTACATTTGCTAAACATTCCTCTTGCTCCGGCTTCAAATTCTTGATAGAACCAGACCGGATTACTTTACTATCGCATTTTTCGCCAAGCTACAACCTGCCCGTTCGACGCAAACTCTTGATGTCACCCACAACTAACTACAACAGGGACTAGACCCAACACAGGGACTAGACCCAACACAGGGACTAGACCCAGACGTTACATGCAGTGAAATGATTGAGCGGAGAGTACGGATGGATAAGGCCAGGCTAACGCTGGACCTGAAAGTCTGATGTTTTGGTTCTGCTCAGTGGGAGAAGAGCGGGTGTACTTTTAACGAGAAGTGAGAAAAAGGGCTTCGTTTGTAGACGTGCTTAGAAAGTTTTTAGCAGGAGACTTTTATCCCGGTAATTAGTAACATTGTTTTAGCGTCCGTTGTCAAGATGATGGTTGCGCCTGAACAGAAAGAAAAGTGAACAAATAAGGCAAGATTTTGTATAATGAGGAAGGTGTTTTAATCTTATCTTAAATATCCAATTACCCATTCTTGATTATTACAACTCGCTTTGTTTTTGTGCATAAAGAGAAGGTCATTTGAAGAAAGGTGGAAAGAAAGTGTCTTGCTCAAGGATACTGTTTTGTTTTTGCAGAGCTCTCCCAAACTTGAAAAGAGAAGTTCACGTGGAATTCTCTCCAATGAACAGATTCGATTTCTCTTTTATGATTTGTGTTTCTTTATCTGGTCATTGACGTGTGTGGAAAACCCGAGTTCCTGGTTTGTAGAATGTTTAGTAAATGTCATTGCTGCAAAAATGTTGTGGTTCTACTCCTACGGGCTCTGTTAGCGGCAAAGGAGATAGCTAAAGCTAGGCTAAATGCTAAAGCTAGCGACACACTCGGGCTCATTACATTTGCCACAGCGAGCTCAGATGGTTTCAATCTGCAAATCCAGACCTTAGTACCAAATGAAATGAGTACAGTGCTGTGGTAAGACCAGGCTACATCAGACCCTTTCAGTCCTTGTTAAGTCATATCTTCTTCTTCTATTGGCAGTACATTTTACTTAGGGATTTTTTTTCCAGTGCAGAGAGAGACACACCTCAGGGACAGGACTGTTTGTTTAGTTCTTGTCTAAATTAAATCTTTTGGTTTATACTTTAAAAATAAACCAAACCAATACCAGCTGCGAACACATTGATTGCAGAGAATATAATTTCACCCGATAGATAATTCTGTTTTAAAAGACAGAAAACTGCCGAGAGCGATGTTAGAGTGGTACAATTACTTCTATAGCATAACATTTTTGTTGTTGCTTTTTTCTGCCTGAGATGTTGCTGCAGTACAGTGTTCATGGTTTTGCACTGGTCCAGACCAGAGCAGAGATGATTCATGGTCCAAACCATGTGGATCAGCTGAAAATCCACTGGAGGAATGCCAACAATTTGAAAAATGTTAATGAAGCATTTAGCATTTTACTTTGGACCAGAGCAAAGAAAATAGTCTGAATCAAGAGGCTACTCCACCTTGTGACCGGTCCTGCTCCACCCAGAGGCTACTCCACCTCTGCTGCTGTGACCTGTCCTGCTCCACCCAGAGGCTACTCCACCTCTGCTGCTGTGACCAGTCCTGCTCCACCCAGAGGCTACTCCACCTCTGCTGCTGTGACCCGTCCTGCTCCACCCAGAGGCTACTCCACCTCTGCTGCTGTGACCTGTCCTGCTCCACCCAGAGGCTACTCCACCTCTGCTGCTGTGACCCGTCCTGCTCCACCTAGAGCTTACTAGATTTCTTATAATCAACAACTCATTTGATATGTTTCAGTCCGGCTTTAGACCCCACCACAGCACTGAGACTGCTCTTGTCAAGGTTACAAACGATATCCGGCTGAACACTGACGCAGGCAAAGTCTCAATCTTAATCTTGTTAGATCTGAGTGCTGCCTTTGACACCATCGACCATGAGATCCTCTTACAGAGACTAGAGGACTGGGTTGGAGTCGCTGGCACCGCCCTAAGTTGGTTTAGGTCTTACCTTGAGGACAGGAAGTACTTTGTGGAGATTGGAAACTGTGTCTCAGATCATATGGCCCTGACCTGTGGAGTCCCACAGGGGTCGATCCTGGGACCTCTTCTGTTCAATCTCTACATGCTGCCGTTAGGTCAGTTAATACGCAGAAACAAAGTTTCCTATCATAACTATGCAGACGACACTCAGATCTATGTCTCACTGACTGCAGGAGAACATGGACCAGTGGACTCACTCCTTCACTGTATCCAACAGATCAGTGAGTGGATGCAAAACAACTTCTTTCAGCTAAACGCAGACAAAACTGAAATGATTGTCTTTGGTCCCCAGAAACAAAGAGAGAGCGTCATCTGTCATCTACAGTCTCTCTCCCTAAAACCTTCAAACAAGGTCAGAAATCTAGGGGTAATACTGGACTCAGACTTAAATTTTAATAGCCACATCAAATCAGTAACATCAGCAGCTTTTTACC